GGGAGGCGATCTTGCAAATAACGAATCGATCCATGGCTTCTAGAAAAGTGATTATTTTTTTCCCAAAGTCACTTGTGTTATATAATTAAATAGTTCATTGTTTCGATTAATATTGCCCCCAGAAAACAATACACCCAAAATTTGTACATACTAGTACTCAGTAGTACCAAATTCTGCAGTAAATTCGCATCTGGGCAGTTATGGTTTAAAAAAAAAATTAAATGGGACCAAGAAATCGGCGATTTTTCGGCAGATTTTATTTAATATTTGTTATTTAAATATTTTGCCGTCATTTTTCGTACATTTCAATCTTTCCTGACGCCTAAAATAGAGTTTAAGTTTTTATTCAATTTCAAGAGTACGTTTTTTGTGACTAGCGTGAGTTTCGGTTCGAGTTGTTGTCACTGTAAATTATGTTAAATTAGTCTTCAAACGCTTAGTTTATCTTTTGAAAACAACTATTTTTTGATTTGAAAAAAAAAATCATGCAGTTTTCCCGTAAAAATCCAAGCCAAATGATCGTACTACAACATCGGCAAATCTCTTCCGCGTTGTGTTAAATAACATTAACATATTTAAATGAGCTATGGTAATTTGAACACGTTGGCGTTATCCAGCATTTTTATTGGTTAATTGGAGATTTGACCTACTAGTATTAGGTCAACCATGCAAGACAAGGAACATGGCGGATACTCGACAGCATCGAGCGTTAATTTGCGACCGGAATTATTTGCTTACGACGAAACGAAGTTGAATTTTATTTGCATTTCATTACAATTCAACAAATTTGTTTTTTTTAAACGTTATTATAATCACTACTGAGTAATAATCAACAATTGTGAAACTCAGCATGACTGGATTGCGCAACCGTGATCATTTGTTGCTCTGCAGTTGTGATCGTTTTTACTTTGTTTAGAATATAATTTCGTTACCAATTAAATTAGGAAAATAAAGTTTATTTCACGTACCAGGTTCGTTAAAGTAATTTTTTGGAGAAAAATTACCCTGGGTGACATTGTAAGTTTTAGGCGGTTAAATTAGCAGGTCTCAGTATTGACTGTCTCGCCGTACTTCAGACGGGACTTCACACTTTCCATTGTGAAATGTAGATGCTAATAGGTGTTTTTGAAGACAATGGCACAGTGTTTTACGGGAATTTACAAGCTCTATGAACTTTGTATGCGGGACAATGGCATCGCAAACGCACACAATGCCTTTAGACCTATCATAATACGACCGAGACGTGTGCTCACCGGATGCGTCCCAGGGACTCACCAGTGAAAAA